GCACCCCGAGTGAGCTGCACCCCATCCCTGTGGCAGCCCCCATCCCCACTGTGGGCCTGGACTCCTGCAGGGCCAAGACCAGCCGGCTGGACCCCCCTGAGGCCTCCTGGCTTCACTTCTGGGGACTCTGAGTGTCCTGATAGACCCCAAATCCAGGGATGGTCCCAGAGGTGGGCACGTCTGGGCAAGGCTCAGAAGCATGTGCTTCAACTTGAAGCCCAGTGCCTGGTGGAGTCTTGGCTGCCACCTGCTGCGCCATCATTGCGCCCACAGGGGCAGCACTCAGGATTAATTGGGGGCCGCAGCCACAGTGCAGCCAGCAGTGCGGGCCCTCGGGAGGCAGGCACCCAACCTGCCCACCCACTGGTGGTCATCTGTGTGATTGGTACTGGCTGCTCGGTTCTGGAACCCGAGAAGCCCGGGGGATGGCTGAGGGCCTGCACTGGAAGTTGGGGGAAAGGGGTGGGGAGCGGCTCGGCAGTACCTCAGCCCTACTGGGATTCATGAGGCTGGTGGGCTCCCCAAGAGGGCTAAAGGGGAACCTGGGGGACCAGAAGAGCAGTGACCCCACTTGGTTACAAAGTTCTGGGGTGGCTGGGGCAGAACCCACCCTCCTACCCACCCCACCATCCAGGCCAGCCTGGCTCAGGAGGGCAGGGCCCCGCCTGCCTGCACACAGTGGGGGCGGGACGCCTGTGGCTGGCTCTCACTCACCCCGAACATTTGCCGCAGGTCGGGGTCCCTGAACCGGAAGGGGATGTTGGAGACGTGGAGTCGTTTGGGCTGCTGCTTCTCAGAGGGGTCGGCGGGGTGCAGTGTCGGGCTGTCAGTCTGCGCCGCTTCGTCTGTCTGCTGCAGGAGAGGACCGGCTATGAGGGCCCAGGGGTAAGGCCAGTTCTCCCCAGGCCCCTGGACACCCCCTCCACTCAGCCTGACTCCTATATGAGGAGGAGGAATTCCTGGAAACAGGGCTTGGTGATCCCCCAGTGTCCACCGTCCCCTGGCCAGGCTGAGGAGGGACAGAATAGGGGAGTGAGGTTTCAGACCTGCCCTGGAAGGCCACCTGGGGCTCCATGCCCTCCTGCTGTCTGCAGGAGCCCCTCCTGGGTGGGCCTGTGAGTCCTTGTGGCAGTTACATAATGTGGTGTCAACTTGAGACTATTAAGAGTGAAGGGGTGGAGTCTAGCCTGTCAATCAGGTCGCAGCTTGATGACCTCATTTGGAGGTGCCATGAAGATAAATAGCTCACTGGAGGCCAGACACATTCTCTCTTCTGCGTCTTCCTGCTGACAAGGCGCGTGGAGGCCCACGCCAGTACTGAGATGCTTCCACCGCCACTGGATCCACAAGACTTCCCATCCATTGGCCCGTGATCTTCCTGCATTTGGCGTCAATGCATGTGTTGTGTAAGTCTGAAGAGAAATTTATAGACTGGTATTGGACATATAGGCTAATATCGGACTTATGGACCTGATTTGGACTGGGCTGTTTTCTTAATATACAATTACTCTTTGATGCAAAGCTCTCTTACACATCTGAGTGTCCTAGATTTGTTTCTCTAATCAGCCCGGACTAACACAGTCCTCCAAGCCACGCTGTGCTCTGGGCCGCATGCTGACTCCTCAGAGCCAGCACCCCGTGGGGCTCAGAAAAGACAGCTCAGGAAAAACACCCTGAGCAAGCTGGCAGGGCAGCTGGAAGTCTCACATCCCGAACACACGTCTGTTCACCAAGCAGGGCTGGGTCCTTCAGTGCACATGGCCCAGCAGTGTGGTGGCAGAGAGTGTGCCAGCCGCACGCAGGCCTGGGGCTGGCTGATTCCGGAGTTGCAGGGAGATTTGAGCAGGGACCCCAGTCCTCTGGGCTGGGATGCACTGTGACCCCAGTCTCAGCGGCTGGCCCAGCTCTGACCAGTGGGGCATTCTGCACCCTTCCTGCTGGCAGGGGTGTGGGCTGTGGGTGGACCCAGCGTCCTGGAGGGGGTGCCAGGCTGGGTCTCAGGAAGTGCAGGGGCCCCGTTTTGTCCAACGGGGGGGCTGCTCCTGGGGATTACAGAGGTGGCTTTGACGGGGCTCAGGTCCGGTCCTGTGTTGGGAGCAGCTGGGGAGCAGACCCTGAGCTCTGAGCGGCCTGCATCCTCACCCAGAGCTCCTTCCGGGATGTGGCGGGGGCTCTCCCCGCTGGTATGGGGCCAGTCTTTCTTGTTGAAGACGCGCCCATTTCCAGGGCCCCCCAGCACCCATCCGTCAAGGGTCCACGCAGACCCTTGTAGCAGCTGATTTGGCCACAGGTCCAGCCCGCAACCTCGGGCCGCCTTCCTGGGCGGAATCTCTGTCGCAGTGGAGCCGGGTGGCGTGCGCCCCACACACTGAGCCCCCGGGGGTGGGGGCAGATCTGGGCACAAACGTCCTTAGATGCCATCAGGTCAGGCCAGACTCAGCGACACTGTGGACACAGAAGAAAACCTGCCAGGTCCTGTACCGTCCTCATATGTGTTCTCAGGTTCCAGCCCACCGCCGCGGCCGCGTCCATCCATCCTGTCCAAGGCCTTCCTCTTTGTTGCTGCTTTACCAAACGCCACGCCCTTCTCCAGGGACGGCCTCTCCCGCCAGCATGCCCAAAGTGTGTGTGAGACAAGATCCTGCCATCCTTGCCTCTAGGAACATCGGACCGTACTTCCTCAAGACAGAGCTGTCGGTTCTTCCCGCGCTGTGGTCCAGCAGCGCGGTTCAAGGGCACCGCGCCTTCCCCCATCATCCTTAGTCCACGCCCGACTTTCACACGCATGTGGGGCGCCTGAGCATGCCACCGCTCGGATCAGGCTCACCTTAGTCCTCAAAGTGACAGACGCCCCTAGCTTTGAATGCTCAGCACCTGGAAGGGATCTTATGCGGCAGTTTCCACAATGCGGGGCAGCCTCTGAGCTCTTGGCTCAGCCCTGATTTGGGGAATCCAGGCTGGACAGGGCATGCAATGCTGACCCCACACCAGCAGAGGGCAGTGGTCAGTCTAGCCAGATGGTCAGGAAAGAGGGGCAAGTGCTTCACCCAACAGGAAGGGCCCTGTGACCAGGGAAGCGGAGCATGGGGCCAGGCTAGGCTGGGGCTCAGTGCGGTATTTGGGGCCACAGGGCTGTCGGTGATGATGTTGGGGTGTCTGGAGCTCCTGCGGAACCTAGGCCTGTCTTTTTGTGTGCCTCCCAGGTCAGACTCCCTCTTTAGGACAAGCACCACACATCCGACCTCTAATGGAGGAGAAATGGGGTGACTGGGTTGGTGATGAGGAGCCTTGGTGCCACAGTGGGTTAAGCACCAGGCTTCTAACTGCAAGGTCAGCAGTTTGGAACCACCAGCCTCTCTGCAGGACAAAGACGAGGCTGTCTACTGAGGGAAGACTGACAGCTCTACCTTGTCCCACGGAGTCGCTGGGAGTCAGACTTGAAGGCAGTGCGTTTGGCTTGGTTTGGGGGTTGGCAGAGGTGTAGGCAAAGAAGAGCCTTCCTGTCCCACCCCCAACCCCTCCGCTCTGGACAGAGGCAGATAACAGGGTTCAAGGGCTGTGAAGCTGTAGGGTGTGCGCAGAACCCCAGGCTGCCGTGCTCGCCACCTGAGGGGTCAGAATCTGTCCCACCATGTATTACAGCAGCTCAGCCCCACACCCTTAAAAAGCAGCAGTTTTGCCTCCCAACAGCCCCACCCCTTCTGCCCCTGTCCTTCGTGGTCTTGGTGGCTCTGGGCCCAGATATGACTTGGGGACCCAGGGCGGGGCCCCGACGGAGGTTGTCAGAGCATTTGTCTCCGGGCCCCCTCCTCCCCACCCTAGGTGCCTGGAGCCCCGCGGCCTGGGCTGAGAGAGAGCTTCCCTGGACCCTTGTGGTGGGGTTGCTCTGGGTCCAGGTGGGCCAGCGAGGGACAGTGCTGCCCCTTGTGCCACAAGAGGATACAGCTCTGAGACCTCCGCCCAGCCACCCAGCTCCTTCACCGGGTGCCTCAAAGACCACAGTGACCCCGCCCCCCACAGGTGCACCCAGTCTGCCTCAGGAGGTCTCATTCCCAGTGAGCCTTCTCCTCTCATGGCAGACACCCATCCACTGACACCCCTCCCCCCATGGCAGGCATCTGCCTACCCTGGGAGGGATCTCTGCCACAACCCCCTGCCTTCCACTGGAATGGTTCCTGGGAAGTGGGGGTGGGTGGGTACTGGGGCAGCCCTACTCCCTTCAGGGCACCTTTCCTCCCCGGCAGAGTGGTGAGCAGTCCCTAGTCGGCCCCCGTGTGGAACCCAGTCCTGTCCACATGGACGGTGGCTGCTGCCTGCAGTTGGAGGACACGCCCCTAGCTGGGGTCCCCAAGCAGGCTCTGGTGGGGGGGTCCTCGTCCTCACCTCCTCCAGCGTGGCCACTCTCCCTTTGCTGAGAGCGAGGCCAGGGCCAGCAGCTGGGGCTCTGGGTGGAGCTGGATGGTGCAGTGGGTGCTGGGAGGCTGGGGCGTGAGCAGGGGCAGAGTGGCCCTCAGACAGGAGGTGGTTTCTTAGAAGAGAGGGCCCCTCGATGTCCCAAGACTCGTGATGACAGATGGCAGAGCAGGCACCCTTGTCCCAGAACAGTGCCCAGGACTCCAGGGGACGGAGGTGCTCAGAACCCAAGCGTGCAGTGAGTGCCCTGGTGGAGGGCCTCCCAGCAGGCACAGACGGGTGTCTCTGAACATAATCCCTGGGCGTGTGTGGAGCTACCAGGAGGTGGTGGGCTGGACACTGGCTCTGAGCCACGCATCCTGTGGCCCTGTCCCCGGTCCCACACCAGGAGGTCCCCAGGGATTGAGGGTCTTCACTAGGGGAACAAGGACACCCCGTGGGCTGGGAGCCCCGCCCCTGACTCCTGCTCCTCCCTCAGTGAGTGCTGCAGCTCAAACACAGGCTCTGGGCAGGGGTGGGGGCTCCTGGGTCCCCCTGGGGGTTCAGGACCTGCTGTCTGTGGCTGCATCCCAGGAGAGAGGAAGGGCAAGTCCCGCTGCCCCATTAGGTCTGCATGGCCCAGGCCTCGGCTGGTCAGGCCCCTTCCTTGGAGCCATGTGGCCGCTGGCCTGAGCCGTGCGTGGTGACACTGTCACTGCCCAGGGGGACGTCCTGCCTCTCTGGCCTCAGCATCTACCTTGTCAGTGCTGCAGATCCCAGAGCCCCTCCCAGGCTCCGGCTGCCCAGAGGCGCTGGGGCCAGCCCAGGGCTCCTCTCCCTCTGTCCTTGCTGTGGGGACTGGTGGCCACCAGAGGGCAGGGCCACCCATCTCTTCTGCCCCCAGCACCTGCTCAGCACCTGGCGGATGGACACAGCTGTGTGCGTCTGGGTGCGGATGGCAGTAGGGGCCCGGGGCCGAGAAGGCCTCTGGGCTTGCTTCTGGGGCTCTGTCCCCACCTGGTGCCACCTGTCAATCTCCCTGCCTTCCTACTAGAAGCATCCCTGTGGTTCCGTGAGAGACCCTTCTCCTGTCCACAAGGAAGTGACCAGAGACTTGACCCCAGCCCGTTGAGCATGTGGTCCATGGGAAAGAGGAAGGGGCTGCCGCTGACTGGGCGTGTCCGTGGTGAACCTGCCCTAGCTCTGGGCACAGCCTTCTCGTCCCAGCCCTGCCTGGGCTGGCTTCGATGGTCAGAATCGGAAACCCTGTCGGCTGGGTCATGTGACTCAACTTTCCCCTAGGACCCTGTGGGCCTTGGCCATGGGGCTCAGGGGTCCACGGGCACAGGAGGCTGAGGGCATGGAGAAGTCCGGGCAAGGAGGGCTCTGGCTGGGCATTACTGGAGGGGTCAGCAGGCTCATGCTGGGCAGGGGAGGAGGTGCTACTGGGGGCCCCACTTGGTCCTGGGAACCAGGCTGGGACATGGGAAGGAGGTGGGCACCATGAGGGCAGCCATCGTAGTGACAACGTGGTGTCACTCCTGGGCAGTGCGGATGGAGCTGGCCTGATGCCTGGCCCCCGCCAGCCCATGGAGCCAACTGCTGGGACACAGCCAGTGGTGGTGGTGGGGGTGGGCAGGCATGTGTGGCATGCAGGTGGAGAGGACCCTGGATGGTGCAGGCTGGAGTTCAGGGCCTGAGGCTGGGCCTGGGCAGGGGGCAGTGGTTCCTGTTGGGGTGGGGTGTCTTCCTAGGCGGGCACTCGCCCCACCCATCGTGAGCTCCCTGGCTCTCGGGAGGTCTGAGAATCTGGGCTCAGCACTTTCTTGGAGCTGCATGACAGCCACATAATTGAAGTGATCTGATTGGAGAGCGGCCAAGCAGGTAGATTACAAGTGATTAGGGATGATAGGAGTGCCTGCAACCGGACACTGGCCTCCTCCCCTCACCCCTCCCCACTCCTCCCTGCCAGCCCCTCACAGCAGACTGGGCACTGGCCCTCCTGCCAGCCACCCCCCACCAGATTGGAGTGCTGGTCCTCTGTGCCATCGCTCCCCCATGTCGGAGTGCTGTTGCTCCTCTTTGCCAGCACCCGCCCCTCACCCCCGGGATTGAGGCCGCACTCTTTATTTTCCACAGAGCCTGAAGTGCAGGGAGGGGGCAGCAGGTGGTGGGGGCCTGCAGGAGGCCACTGACCTCCTCCCTATGCCTCCCCCCAGCCCTCTCCTCCCAGCACCCTTGTCTGGATGGGGAAGTGTGGACGGCAGGGCCCAGAAGCACCTTTTCAGGGGAGGATTGCTGTGGGCCTGCCTTACACCCCCAGGGAGGGCCCAGGACCCTGCCCAGCTCCCCTGACGGCCGAACCAGCCCCCTGGGCAATCTGGGCTGGCCAGGGCCACGGGGGCAGCCTTACCGGCACAGTCTGGGTCCCGGCTATGGACTGTGTGCCGGCGTCGATGCCCGGCGGCTCGGGGTGGCTCTGTGCTGGCGTGTACAAGGTCATGCTGTGCTCAGGAGGCACCGGCGTCTGGCCTGGGTAGTCCTGGGCGGGGTGCGGTGGAGGAGGGGCGTATTCGGTGGGGATGCCGTTCTGTGGCGGAGGGGGATACTGGGCCGGGGCATAGGGCTGGGCCATCGCTTCTGGGGGAGCCGTGGCGTCCTGATTGCCCTGTGGGGAGAGAGAAGGGCCTGGTTAACATCCCCTCTCTAGCCTGGCGCCTTTGCACATGGAAGCCCCTGCCCATCAAAGTGCCTGCTGCACCTCAGTGGGGGTACCCCTAGCATGGGGCATGGGCTCTGAGCTGGAGGGGTGGTCCCCGAGACACCAGCATGGCTCAGAGTCCATGAGACACTCCCGCAGTTTGAGCCTAGGCAGGAGCGCATAGGATCTCAAGTATATTATGTAACGCCTTCTTTATTTTAATAAATGCATTATTTAGGTGAAACCCACGGCACAGAAGGAGCCACAGAAGGAGCCGTTGAAGGTGTGCCATCTGGTGGCACCGAGTTCTGGCCACAAGACAGGTCTGTCTCCTCAAAACAAGCCCAGAAAATCATGTCTCAGGTCCCCCGCCCCCGCCCCAGCCCAACCTTGAATCCAGAAGAAAGAGTCCAGTGTTCAGCCTTGCTCTGTGGTCTGGGCCCCGTGGCTCTGCGCACAGAGCTCTGGGGATGCAGTTGCCTGGTGGTTACAATGTCACAGCCAGCATGCCCACATCGCTACATTCTGATACAGCGGGTTCCACCAACGCCAGACACCTCCTGCTGCTCGCTCAGCCACACCGGACCCACCGCCCACCCCCCTAGCCCCGGGCCTCCCGGAAGCTTCAGAGACTGACGTTTGCTCATCTGGTGACACACTGCCTAAGTGCTCCGCTGCTAACGGAGAGGTTGGTGGTTCGAACCCACTGGCTGCTCTGAGGCCTGATGAGGCCATCGACTACTGTGAAATCGAAGCCTTGGACACTGTGTGTGTGTGTGTGTGTGTGTGTGTGTGTGTGTGTGTGTGTGTGACGGCTCTGGCCTAAGGGTCCCTGCGGGTCAAACAGAGGCATCTGCAGTGGGTCTGAGGTTTGAAAGCAAGGCTGAGGGGGTCTGCGGGATGCAGCCCACCAGGGGTTGTGTGAGAGTGGGATGTGCGGTCTGGTTCAAAGTCCACAAACACAAAGACGACCTAGACAGTGGCCCTTATGGTGAGGTGCTGTCCATGGGGGCAAGACAGGCACCCCTTCCTGCAGCCAACACCAGCTGCTCAGGTGGCTCCGCAGTGCCTGGAGGGCTGTGCTCAGCGTGGGACCCCAGCCAGCAGCACCAGCACCGTGTGTTAGAAGTCCCAGCCTGCACCGACTTCCGGCCCGGAGACCAGCAGTCTGGGGGTAAAGGAGCTCTGGGGGGGTTCTCAGGGAGCCGAGTGTGCAATGGCTAAACTCCCACTCACTGCTCACAGAGAGGCTGGGACTTCGAGTCCACCCACAGGTGCCTCGGAGGAAAGGCCTGGAGACCTGCCTCTGGACAAGCAGCCCGAGACCCCGTGGAGCCAAGTGCCATCCTGACACGTGGGGCGCCGGGGGTCCATTGTCGGGGCAACTGTTTTTCTGGTGCTGGGGTGGGGGCGGAAGGGCACTCTGGCTCTGTCCCTCCCTGTCCTCCACCGTGGACACCTGGAGGCTGGCTGGGAGCAGGCCCCTCTTGGGTGGTCTCGGGGTGATCCCACCTCTCGCCTGAGCACCCCAGGTACAGTGGCCAGATTCCACATCTGCAGCGGGGTGATGGGGTTGCAGCAATGGAACCACAGGACGCAGAGGGGGAGCCCAGCTCCTCAGTGCCTCGAGCTAGGTGCCTCCGTGCCAACAACGCTGCCCCCTTCTCTTCTCTGCAGACTGAGCCAGGGCAACGCTGGGCTCCACAGCCGCAGGGGGAGAGGGAGGGCTGCGTGCGTGCCACACACTGCCCCTTACACACACAGCACGCATCTTTACATACAGACACACACACAGCACGCATCTTTACACACCTCTTTATATACACACTCACACACTCTTACATACAGGCCCTTACACACACACTCACACACACACCACACCCTTACATACAGACACACACATTCTCCCTCACAATACACATGTTTACAGACAGACTCACACACACCCTTGCATACAGACGTGTATAACCTTTCCATATGGGCTCACACATGCTGAGTCAGATACATGCTCACCTACCATCACACACACACACACACACACACACACACACACACACACACACACACAC